CTTCTCATTTTCCCTTCTTTTTCTCTCTCCCCCCTTGCTTGTTCCCCTTGCCTTTTGTACCATTTTTTTCTATTTCACATTATCTACTATACATTTTGGTCCTTCTTTACCCTTTCAGTTCTCACAGCAAAGAGACGATATTTAAACATGTGTCTGATTCATTTCACTTAAGAGCATAGTCTCAAAGTGCACCCATTTAGCTGGAAAGGTCTCAAGTTTATCCTTATTTGTGGCTGAGTAGCACTCCATTGCATAAAAAACCCACATCTTTATCCATTCATCGGTTGAGGGACATTTGGTCTGTTTCCAAGATTTAGCTATTACAAACTGAGATATAGTCAAGATTTAGCTATTTAAACATGGGTGTGCATACATCACTGTGGTATGATGCTTTTTATTCTTTTGGGAAGATACCCAGCAGGGGCATAGCTGGGTCAAATGAGACCTCTAATCCTAGTTCTTTGTGGAATCTGCATACTGATTTCCGCAGTGATTGCACCAGGCTGCACTCCCACCAACAGTGGAGAAGGGTTTCTTTTTCCCCACAGCCCTGCCAGCATTTGCTGTTGGTTGGTTTCTTGATAGCAGCCATTCTTTCTGGGGTGAGATGGAATCTCAGCATTGTTTTAATTTACATCTCTCAGATGACCTGTGACGTTGAACATTTTTTCACATATTTGCCATTTGTACTTCTTCATCTGTGAAGTGTCTCTTAATTTCAGATGCCTATTTTTGGATTAGGTCTTTAAATTTGGGGGATCTGATGTTTTTCAATTCTTTGTATGTTCTAGATATTAGTCCTTTGGCTGAGGAATAACTGGATAAAATTTTTTCTACTCTGTGGGTTGTCTTTTCACTCTTTTGGTGATTTCCTTTGCTGTGTGAAAGCTTTTTAATAGGATGAGATCTCAGTTGTTGATTCTTTATAGTATTTCCCATGTGGTCTGTGTTTTGTTCATGAAGGCTTTGCCTAACCCTGTGTCCTCAAGAGTTTTACCTATTCTTTCTTCCAGAGGATTTAGTATTTCTGTTTTAATATTTAGATCTTTGATTCATTTTGATTTTAGTTTAGTGCATGATGAGAGGTAGGGGGTCTAGTTTTAGTCTTCAGCATGTGGAAAGCCAGTTTTTTCAACACCACTTATTAAAGAAGCTATCTTTCTTCCAGTGAGGGTTGTTTTCACATTTTCTATTCTGTTCCATTGATCTTTGGGTCCGTTTTTTTTTTCCATTTTGCCAATACCATGCTATTTTTTCAGTCACAGTAGCTCTGTAGTATAATTTCTAGCCAGGGATTGTGATGACCCCTGCCTTGCCTTTGTTACCTAGAATAGTTTTTGTTTTTCTAGGTCTCTTCTGGTTCCAAATGAATTTTAGGAATGTTTTCTCTAGTTCTGTGAGGTATGCTAATGGTATTTTGATTGAGATTGCCTGTAAATCTGTGTAACAGTTTTGAGAGTATGGCCATTTTCACTATGTTGGTTCTTCCTACCTAAGAATAAGGAATATTTTTGTATTTTCTGGTATCCTCCTTTTTCTAATCTCCTTTTTCAGAGTACTGTAGTTTTCAATATAAAGGCCCTTTACTTCCTTCATTAAAGTGATTCCCAGGTATTTCATTTTTTCCATGCTATTTTGAAAGGTGCTGTTTCCCTAATTTATTTCTCAGTGAGTGTCATTTGTGTACAGAAATGCTATTTATTTTTGAGTGTTGACTTTGTATTCAGCTACTCCACTGAAATTGTTTATTAAATCTAAAAGACTTTTGGTGGAGTTTTGGGGTCTTCCATGTAGAGAATTTTGTCATCTGCAAATGATGATAATTTAACTTCTTTCTTTCTGATCTTTATTCCTTTTATTTCTTTCTATTGTCTAATTGCTCTGGCTAATGTTTCTAGAACTGTACTGAACAGGAGTGTTGATAGTGGAATCCTTATCTTGTTCCTGATTTTAGAGTGAAAGCTTTCAGTTTTTGACTGTTCAGTATCATGCTGACTGTTAGTTTGTCATAGATGGCTTTTATAAGATTGATGTAAGGACCATCTATTCCAATTTTCTGTAGGGTTTGTTTTTAATCATGAAAGGGTATTGGATTTTGTGAAATGCTTTTTCTGTATATGAGACAATCATGTGATTTTTGTCTTTGTCTCTTTATCAAGTGGTATGTGTTGAACTGTCCCTGCACCCTTGGGATGAATCCTACTTAGTCATGATGTATAACCTTCTTGATGATTTGCTACATTCTGTTTGCCAGTATTTTGTTGCAGACTTTTGTGTCTGTGTTCATTAGGGGAAGAGGGGTTTGACTTAAGAGGGGAGGGGATTGGGAAAAAAAGGAATTAGGCTATACTGTGTATAGGTACAAATTTTCTATGACAAATGTAATCATTATGTATATCTAAATTGTATCAATAAAATTAATAAAATTTTTAAAAATAAAAAAAATAAAATTCCTCTGGTGTCCACAGTTCTGTAGTAGTGTCCAAGGCAGGTAGTGTCCCCAGTTTGTGCTGTGTACCCCTGCCAAGTCTGCAGTAGGATTGGTGCTGGGTTCAGGACTGATTTGGTGGGAGCTGGGTCCCGTCTTCAGCCAGCAGCTGGCTCATCCAATTTTCCTTACTGGTAGTTGTCCTGGTGCCTTCGGGGCTTTTCCCAGTCCTGTGTACAGTGGGTTCCACTTGGCCTTTGCACGGGCCTCCTGTTTCAGCCCCACTGGTGCATATCTCTATCCTGACCACTGCTGCTGCAAATTCAGCCTGCAGCTGCTGGGGCTGAGTGCTGACCTATGACCTACGCACCTGTGTCTTTCTCTCAAGCTATTAGTGGCCTATGCCTTCTTTCCTCAACTCCTCTGTGCTGCACTCCCTAACTTTGCTGTCTAGGGTTTCCAGTTGGCTTCTAGGACCATGACAGAGGGGGAAAAAAGGAGAGAGGTCTGGTGGCCTGTCTGGTCTCTGGCCTCTGTGTGTGCCATGAAATTTGCTGCTAGGTGGCAGTGTCCTCTGTGTGGAAGATTTTCCCAGCTCTACCCTTTCAGTCTGTGAGTTTCTCAGGACTTCTCAGTATGGCCATTCTTGCTTGGCACCGCCTTGCTGCTGGCAGCCCTGTGGGCTAACGCACTGTTTTATGAAGTCCTGTGCCTATGTTTTATTTGATCTACTCGTCTCTTTTTCCAGATTCTGGTGTCAGGATGTCTGTCCCCCCCTTTCTTCCAGTTACCTGTGCTTTTAGTTGATTTTCTCTGAGTAGCTGCAGCGTGGCCCCTCCTCTGCACAGACTGTTGGACCCCCTCCGTACATGTATTTCAGATGGCCTTTTCAGTCCTTTTCCTCCACCTTGGCCTTATGCACCTCTAAGGTCTTCTAGGTATGCATGAGCTGCAACTGCTGCTTGGTTTCAAATTCAGGGCTTGTTCTTTCCTTGGGGAGGTTTGCTGTGATTGGGCTGGTAGAATGTCACCTTGTAATACATAGCTGAGCATTTGGCTCAAGATTAGCCAGGTCCCTTAGGCAAATCTTCAGAGCTCCTTCTTTCCCAGTAGCTCCACAAACTCTCGCCATTTGGCCTCTGAACCCCTGCCTGTGTCCGAAACTTAGTGAGAGCACAGCCTTTGACTTGAGACTCTTCTCCCAGCAGCAAGGGCCAGAAGTGTAGAGGCAGAAGGCTGGGATTATCGTAGGACTCGTTTCGGATCTACTGTCATGCCGGGGATCACAGGCATATGCAGCCCACTGTGGGGTGTCTTCAAACAGGATTTCATGTCACTGCTGTAGCTGCCTGCCAGTTCCTGATGGGAAATTCGTTCCTTAGTCAGTTTTGCCCGAGAAGATAGGTGATGGTTCCTTTGAATTTAAGTTTTAAGTGTTACTCTTGTAGATGGCAACCTTGCTGAACTATTGTTTCAAATCACGTAATGATGAGAATATGCTCCTAGAAATGTGTCATCACTTGACTTGCCATAGCACGAATATGATGGTATGCAGTTATGCAAACCTACGTGGTATAACTACTCTACACTTGGGGTGTACAGTCTAAGACTGTGTTGGAACCCCAAGGCCAATGCAGTATTAGAAATTGAGCCCAGGGCCTTCTCACTGTGTTATATTCCCAAGCTCTTTTTAAAAATATTCTTTTGAGACAAGGTCTCCCTAAGTCACTAAATTGCCCGGGATGGACTCAAACTTGCCACCCTCCTGTCTCAGCCTCCCAGAGTGCTGGGATTGTAGGTGTGTACCACCACACCTGGCTGTTTCTTCTTAACATACATTTGAAAGTCATCGACCTCAACTTTGGGGCTTTGGGCTTGAGATGATGTGAGAATCTAACAACACAGCTTGAAACAGAGCACTTTGATGATTTTAGGGCCATTGTTTCATATTGCCAGGCTATCTCTGCTGTCACAAGTACGCACAGTTCTTGTCAGTGGCAGCATGGACATTGTAGATATGAAGCTTTCCTCTTACAGATTCATTTCCCTTGGCCTTGAAAAGAGTAAAAATTAAATGAATTTAAAGGCATGGACTTAAACTCATGAATATTTGACTACTGAATTCAATTGTCTGAGTTCACAGAATTTTTTTATGACTTTTATGGATACAATTGTTTGTAACATTGAAGATATTTGTGGAGAAGTAACACAATAAAGTGAGACTTCCATACCTACATGATGTGAAGGGATTATTGGTACTTAATGATAGCCTATGTTGTAGAAGAAATTGGCAGCAGAGATTTTGGAAGTGGGGAAGGGGAGCATGGGGATGGGGAGAGGAAGGAAGGCGAAAGGAGCCTGATGTGATCAGGATATGTTACGTATGTGTACTAGTCCCCCAAAGCAAGGGCAGCTATTTATGTATTGCAAACATTAATGAAAAGTGAAAAAAGAAGGCATCCCTTGAATGGAAAGAGTTATGCAGTTGAAAATTTTGATTAACCTTATTGCTTTCCTGTGATTCACCACAAAATGACTTTTTAGTAAAAATGTTGCTCTACTCTGATTTCAGAATCTGTCATTGTTTCACTGGAAAATGGAGGGAGATGAAAGGGAAACAAAGAGGTATGAATTCCTAACTGGCTGATAGTTATGTCCAAACCTTTGCCCACTCCCTGTGCTTGTTTCACACCCAGTGACACTACGGGACTGAATGTTTGGTGCCCTGTGGGAATACAAGCTGTGCAGACAGGCTAGGCTTGCCTAGGGCTTAAATTTGTTTGGCATTGAAAAGATAAATTAACTTATTTTGCCAGATCAAATGTCTAAAATAAATTCAAGTGCACCAATCAAAAAGTTTTGTCAAGATTTTCAGTATGATCAGTAGTTTTTAAAAGTAAAAACAAAACCCCTTAAGTGACATTTTTTGGCTGAGCTGTCTCTCTGAGAAGGAGCTTTTGTTTTGAGAGAGCCTTGGGTAATTATGGGTCAGTGGGAAAGAATTTTACTAATCAGAACTACTCTTGTTAAAGCAGGTGAGAGTCTGTGGTGCCTCTACCTTTAAATTCAAATGAATTTGAACTCAGTGGATTTATGTAATTCTTGAGCCATTGTGCTAGGCCCTGTGCTGATTGCTCTGGAAGACATGGGCACAGATATGGCCCCTCACATAAGGGACTCACCATCTAGGGGCAATCAAGTCAGCTTGCATGTCTTATTTTAATAGCAATAGGTCTTTCAATTTTATTTGGAGACAGAATCTCATCAAGTCGCCTGGGGTGATCTCAGACTTACAGTCCTCTTTCCTCAGGCTACCAGCCAGCTAGGATTTTAGGCCTACGTCACTGCCCCTGTTGGCAATAGGTGTTATTATGCCATGGAATCAAGGGCTGGACTTTGGCTCAATTATTGGTACAAGCATCGGTTTTTCTCTCTTCTTATTCCCCACCTCCTGTTGCTGTGTTGTCTGAATTCCTAGCCATACCCTTGCCATTACTGATCTTGGTAGTTTTGTCAATTAGGAGCCCGCCTGATAAAGATGAAGATCTGACAGAGGAATACGGTTACACGGTGTTTGAGCAGATTCACACCTTGATGCAACGTCACGAATGCCCTAAAAGTGGTGATGGAGACAAGGCACAGTTGGGCCTGACCTCCTCTTCAACAGCGATCGGCACTTTCTCTGCAACAACCAGCGGGATGTCCTCTTCAACAGTGATCAGGACCTCCACTTCAACAGTGAGCCAGACCTCCCATTCTATGATTCAGTCCTCCTCTTCAACAGAGAGCCAGAGCTCTTTTTCAGCAGTGAGCCATGTCTCCCCTCTCACCATCCAGAGCTCTTCTTCAGCAGAGAGCCAGATCTATTCAACAAAGAGCCAGACCTCTCTGACCAGAAGCCAGACCCCCTCTGAGAATGAGAACCAGATGTCTACTGCGGTCTCCATCATTAAACAAGGTTGGATTTGGGCACCCTAGCTAACTTACTGCTTTCTCATTGGCTACATTGAAAATGAGTGGTGGGTGGGGCAGATAGGCCCCTTCCTTCTCCTCAGGCCTTCTTGGGAAGCCATCCATGACTACAAGGCATCTCTTCTTAAATAACCTTTTAATTTCACAGATATTTTGTTCCTCTCCATTCCTGCTTATTTTTAGCGCATCACGTAGCCCTAAGGTTTGTGCAAAAGTGGAGTACAAAAATGAACATTAGCAGAAGCATATGTGGGAAATGGTAGTGCCAAGTTTTGTGTCTTGGGCATTTACAGGTGAGGTGTACAGTAAGACTTAAGGGGGAAGATACAGCCCTGAGCCTGCAAAGTAACACCAGTGATCCTCTGATCATAGCAGAGCTCTCAGTGCAGGTGTGCATCAGGCCCATCTGTATGGACTCGTGCTGAGCTAATCTCTAATCTTAACCATGTTTTCTTGACCCCAGGACATCTCCAGCTCTTGCTATATTTCTGAGCCCTCCTTCACAGCAAAAGTCCCTGGAGTTATTTCATAGACCTTGTTTCCTCACGTCCCATCCGTTCTTTCCCATCCTGTGCAGCGCTCAGGGCAGACTGGCCACTGTTCCCCACCCCACTCCACCTACTTTGTCAGGTGTTCTCCACAATGCCCTTGTCTTAATTGATATTTCAAATACATTAAACAGCCCTGGGGATTGAGCCCATGATCTTCAGATCTTCACACCAAGCTACATCCCAAGCCCTTTTGTTATTTTATATTTTGTAACAGGACCTCATTGAGTTGGTAAGTTGTCCAGATTGGGCTCAAACTTGCAATCCTCCTGCCTCAGCCTACCGGAGTACAGTCCTTGCTTCATGAAATACCTTTCTCTCAGCTTCTGGGACCACACACTCCCTGGCTTTCTCTCATAGCCCATTGGCTGATGCTTTTCTGTCTTTTTTATTCCACCTCTTCCCATATTTCAACTTGCAAGCATTGGCATGTGCCAGGGCTGAGACCTTGGATATTTTTTCTCTTTTCTGTCTGTGCTCACTTCCCAAGTAGTCTTCATCAGTCCCTTGCTGTGACAAGCTGTCCAGACATAGCTAATCCCTATTTTGTAATCCTGTGTCCAGCCCAGACTCTTCCCTGAGCTCCATACTCGAGAATCATACTCGTCATAGAGTCAGCAGGAGAGTTTCCTTTGCAACTTCTTTAATTGGCTATTTAATGCAGAAGCTACCAAGGCCACTGAGGAACTCTTTTATTAAGCAAGCTTTCTTCATTTTTATTCATCTGGAATTAATTTATTTATATTGTTTGTTTGTTTGTTTGGGGTCTCTCCACGTAGCCCAGGCTGACCTCAAACTCACAATTCACTCAAATTCACTGACTCAAACTCACCTCAGACTCTTTCATGTCCTCCTCCAAACTCTCAGCGAACCCTTTTGGCTCCTCCTTTCAACCAACTCTATAGCCCATTCTCTTCTCACTACTTGCATAGCCTTGGTGTTATCATTCTCATCCAGGCTGTGTCATATCTTGCACTTTCTCTTTTTAATTGACAAATAAAAAGTGCATGTACTTGTGCTGTGTGGCACACCGTTTGGGCATCTGCTGACTCTGGTTGTCAGCCAGACTTTATACTTACTGGTTTTGCTGGTGAGAACACTTAAATCTGTTTCAGCATTGTTCAGGTATGAGTATTGAGGTCAACCTTGGTTACTGTTACACTACTTGTTCTGGATCCTACGTGCTTGGAATTCTCTATCATCACCAGCAGTTCCCCAGGTCCACATCTCTCACCTTTGAAGGAAGTGCCTAGCTAGACTTTCTGCTTCTCCACTCTTGCTCTCTCTATTATTTATTTTATTTTCCACAAGCAGCTAGTGTGATGTGTTAAAAATTCACCACACCACTCTTCTGCTTAAAAGTACTTCATGTTTCACTCTGAATTAAAAGCCAATTCCTTGCCATATACCTTCCATGCTAGGACCCTTTCTGTTGCTGACTTCACTATTGTGCCACCCTCTGTTCTTTCCCCATCACCCACTTGACCTCCTTTCTTTAAAATGGGCAGAATCCTTCCCTGCTTCACTCAGCACTTACTGATCCCCCTGCTTGAGAGATGTTGTGATCTGGTGTTGTCATGTGGCTGCCTTCTTGTCATTCAGATCCTTTCATTACATTTCTGTCTCAGTCAGGCTTCCCCAGATGGCACAGTCTCAGTGCTCATACTTGCAGATGCCTGAAATGATCTGTTCCCCTGTCTGTGTGTCCATCATCTGTCTGTCCTGCCCAACCAGTGTGTAAGGCCCAGCAGGATGGTCACTGTGCCTTGTTTCTGCTGTATCTTCTTCCTTGCCAACTCTGACAAGTAGGAAGGAGAGCTCCATAAATATTTGTTCCTTTAATGACAATCATGGAGTCCTCCTGTGACCTCAGCACCCCGCTGCCCAGTGAGGTATGGTGAAGGGTTTGGCTTGGATCTGATGCTGGCTTCTGACAGTAACTGTGGGAGACTCACGTGGTCTATGAGCCCCGTCCCCAGGCTGGGGCAGTGTTCAGGAACACTGAACTGGAGTCAGGTTCCTCATTAGCACAGTTTCCTTTTCCTCTCATTCTGCTCCCCTGCAGTGTACACATCCTCTTCCCGTCTATCTGCAGTGAGGTTCCGGGCTCTTCTACTCAGGCACGACCACCTTCTGGCCCAGTGTACCCCAAGGAATGTATCTGAGACTCAGATTCCCTGGGAAAGTAGGAGGAACCCTCCAGATGACCCCTTGTCAGGGCAGTCTGCATTTGTAATGGGGATCAAAGTTGGGTGATATGAGCCCCTCCTTTCTTAATGAGGAAGGTGAACTACTGTTCATTAATTTGAATGTTAAAGGCCACCTGAGAGTGAAGCCCCTCCCCAGATGAAGTTAGTGGAGTAGGTATGATTGGGAGAGCCAGGAAGCCTTGCAGAATGGGGTAGCTGGGAATGAGAGGCAGCCAGCAGCTTCTCAGACACATCAGGTAAGGCCTGAAGATACTGTGCTTAAGGGCTCTTCCTCCAGGCTTAGTTAGATGCAGCTAAAGAGTGGAATTGTATGTTTTAGCCAGAGGATAGGGTCTGGGTCCTTGTAGAGATCTTGACCTTATCTGGGATATTAAGGATCCTGGGTTTGGGTAGAATCCAAGAGAAGGAAATAACTGAAAGCTGAAAAATCATAGTTACTGGATAAGTCATAATGTAGAGTAGAAATTTAGTTGAATGATCTTGAGGTCTTTTTCATTTTCTGACATGTCCATGCTTGTGATCATTTATAAGGAGAATCGGTCTACATTAGATCCTTCACTAAGACTCACCATGTCTCATGAGTCCTTTCTATAACATTAATTATAACTGTGAAAAAAAAATCTAATGCCCATAGCTAATAAGTTTAATATAACGCTTTTCTGTCCTTTCTTCCTTTCTAAAGAAAATCTCAGTTCACCGGTCCCTGCTGATGAACAAAATTGGGTTCCATCATTTTGTAACCGAGAAGAAATGAGCAAAGTGGTGCTACAGGTAAGAGGGCTTTTGTGCTTTGATTACTTTTTATGTAGAATACATATGATATAAGATAAAGAATAGTGTTCTTCAGTGTGTGGCTAAGAAACAATATCCATCAAAGTTGCATAAGGAGCTTGGTAAAGATGCAAATTCTTAGGTGTAAACTTTAGCCCTTTGAGTTGTAATCTCCTACCTGTCAGGGTCTGAAGTCTGCATTTCTCATGGGCTCCCCAGATGCTGTTTATACCACTTGAGTTTTGAGAACCACTGATATTAAGTGATAACAAATATGAACATGTCCTGGTAGAGGTTAGTGGGCGATTGAGTGAATACTTAGCACTCATTCAACATGGATTGTCAGACTGTAAGAATAAAGACTCAAATCTGTCTTTTTCAAGGAGATGAAGTGTTGGTAGTTCTTTATTTAAATTGAATTTATTGGTACATTCTAGGTATACAGTACAGTTACATTCATTACTGGGATCTTGTACCTTTACAAGACAGGTCTTGGTTCTCATTATTTCCCCTTGTCCCCACCCTCCCTTCACCCCCTCCTCCCCTCCCCACCTACAAACACTTTAATTCCATTTTTACATTTTCTCATAATTTTTCCCTTTCTCTTATTCCCCTTCCTCTACCCTTCTCACTGTCCCTACACCTTTAGTCCTTTATGAACAAATCCTCAGTAGCACGGGAATTAGCAGAAAGAATCAACAAGTGGGATCTCATCTTATTAAAAAGCTTCTGCACTGCAAAAGAAACCATCAACAGAACTAAGAGACAACCTACAATGTGGGAAAAAAAAATTTACCAACGGCTCCTCAGACAAAGGACTACTATCTAGACTATATAAAGAACTCAAAACAGTCAGCCCCCCAAAATAAAGACCCAATTCAAAAATGGGCATCTGAAATGAACAGACATTTCTCAGACAAAGAAGTAAAAGCAACAAGTAAACATATGAAAAAATGTTCCACATCACTGGTCATTCGAGAGATGCAGATGAAAACAACACTGAGATTTCACCTCACCCCACAAAGAATGGCTGCTATCAAGAAATCACACAATAACAAATGTTGGCGGGGTTGTGGGGAGAAAGGAACCCTTCTCCATTGTTGGTGGGAGTGCAGACTGATAGTTTTTATCTCCAAGAAAACTGGGGAGTTTGACTAAGGTCGAAGGCTACAAACTGTGCCCCGACAGACCCTATTCCTTTGAATCGGACAGGGACATGCATTTTGTTGCCCTTGTCACTTACTCACTGTGGGTTTTGAGTGATTTCTCTGAGTCTTGTTTTCTTTCTCTTTAAACTGGGTAAAAAGTGTGTGTATTTCACTGAGTTGTAGTGGGAGTAAGATTGAGAAGATAGTGTAGAATTTCTAGAGCAGAAGGGATGAGCTCAGGCCCCCTGGCGGGTGGTTCTGCCTGGCCACCAGCACTATGAGCCTCCTTATTGTAATAAAGCCGGAGACCTGTGTTGTGTAGTGGAAACTTCTCAAACTTACCCAGGACTAGAAGCAGAATTCCACCGACTGTGGGTGAGTGGAGTCATTTTTCGAACAAAGATGCTCCACAACTTATGGTGGGGTTACTTTGCAAAGAAGCCACCATTAAGTTGAAAATATTTTAAGTATAAAATCCATTTAATACACTTTCCCTACCAAACACCACAGCTTGGCCTAGCCAACATTAAATGTATTCAGAACACTTTCATTAGCAAATCGGTGTGCAGAATCACCTAACCCAAAGGCTGTGTTATAATAAAGTGCTGAATACTGCATGCAATTTATCGAATACAGTGCCGAGAGTACAGTAGCTTCTCTTTCATGCATATCCCTTTTGCACCTTCATCAAGTCGGAAAGCCCTAAATTGAATCGTGTTTTATAGCACCTCATTTTACACCATTGTGTCAGTGAGTGTGGGGGCATCCTTCCACCTTTCCAGCCACAGATTCCCTCACTTTAATTTCACTTAATTTAATTTAATTTGATTTAATTTGTCTTTGGTGCTGGAGGTGGGACTCGGAATCTTGTGCTTGCTAGCCAGGCAGTCTACAGTTGAGATGCAGCCCCAGCCTTACCTCAATTTTGTTAAGGAGATTTTGTCTCGGGGGATCATACACACAAATGTTTGCCACAGAGAGGCCTCAGAATGTGCCACATGAAATCCTGTTACTAATCTTGTAAAACTTGATGTTTGTTTAAAATATTTTAGGAGCTAGGCTTGGTGTAACTATACCCTGCAGGAATAACTATGTTCACGAACACAGAATATATGATATTACACTGGGAGAAATCAGAATGTCTTGGGTTACTCCCTCTCTCCACTTTTGACCTCCTTTAGGCTTTAGAGCCTTTAGTGGCTGCCCTGGAAGAACCTGTTCTTTCCTAGGGACAGACATGCTAGTTCAGGCTGTTATCACAGCTGACTTCAAGCAGAGAGAAAGCTCAGGGAATCTAGGGAGAGGGGCAAGAGTGTGATGCTTGTCTTCACTTGTCAGAGGATGGCTTTGGCCATTTACAAAGCATGAAAGCAGAGTGTGGGGAGAGGTGAAGAGCAACATGCTTTTTGCTTCTTGTGCCTGCGAAGGCCGTGCCCAAGTTAACAATGGTTATGCTTGATGAGTTTTCCACTTTGTGATGGATGGCACAAAAGCACCCTCAATAACACCATGTGTCTTAGTTACTTTTCTCATTGTTGGGACAAAATTCCCAACTCCCAAAGTTAAGTGTGGGAAGGTTTAGTCAGCTCACAGTTTGTAGAGGTTCCAGTCCATAGTCAGCTGGCTCCAAGGCAGGTTGGCATGACAGAGGGGCACTGCAGAGGAGAAACAGCTCTTGGTGTGGCCAGCAGAAGTTAGCAACAGCAAGCAGTAAGCAACAGCAGAAAACCTGCCTCCTTTCTGTCCCTTTATAGTGCATTCCGTTATCCACACCCTTGATCCCAGCATCACGCCCTTAATCCACATTCACACACCGTGATCCAGCCACCTGTGAAACTGCCCACCTATGACTGCATCAGGCTTTGAGGGGACATGTTAGATATAGGGCATAACACCATACTTTGAATTTTTAAAATTTTGGGAGATTGAACTCAGAGCCTTGTGCATGCTCGGCAGGCAGTCTGCCGCCAAGCTGCACCCCTGCTCTACTGTGAACTTTCATCTTTTCTCCAGCCAGTGATACTCTTGCACCCACTGGCTAGCACAGCTCTGAGTCAGCCACACAGTCACAGAAGTAAACTTAGAAGAATATATATAACATATATTTACAATTTAAATAGTACAAATAACATTGATCTTAATAAATAAATCATGAACAGGTCCTTTGAAGCCTCCTTCCTATAAACTTCCTCACCATCGCCTGAATTTTATTTCAACCATTCCTTGACTTTTCATTGTATTTCTAGGTCATATATAAATATCTCTAAATGATATATTATTTTGTTTTTCATGTTTTTACCTTTATTTATATAGGATGATATTGCACCTGTTCATCTGTGACTTAATTTTTTAAAAAAATTTATTAGTCATGTTTGCACTTATTGTGCAAAGCTGGTACGTGTACCTAACACATCCTGTTTTCTTCCCCCCATATTACTCCCATCCCTCCCTGCCCCTTCCAACTCTCAGACCCTTTCCATTTGCAAAAGCTCTGTTTCCGTTTTTTTCAATTCTTTTTTCCATCCCCCTTCCCTGCCCTCCCTCCCCTCTCTCCATCCCTTGTGCCCTCATGGTTTTGATAACACTTCTTTTGAAGCTCAGTCCATGATGTTGCATGTAACTCGTACACTCAGTTTACACCTAAACTGTTGTGAGAACATCCTACACAATTCCATATTCCATTCTGCTGTTGCTGGGCACTAGCAAGCAAGCTCTTTTGGCTCGTGCTCCCCGGAACACCAAGACTGAAGCAGAGCTTCCTTGTTGAGGTTTTAGTGGGCTGTGCAATCTCATGACAGTGAGCATGAGGGCAAAAGAAAAGCCAGACAGGAAAAGAGAGAAATGGAATATAAGGTGGTTGCTAACCAAGCTGTATATGGGTTCACAGGAACACACAGGTGGTGGTTCAGTCACTTGAGACCTCTTCCGGTTAAACTTGAGGGAGAGTCTGTGTAGGAGGAAGGACAAAGATTCTCTCCAGCTTTTTCATTCTGTCTCTTTAGTCAGAAGTTGCACAGAGATGACTAACTACTCTGCCCTCTGCAGTATTGGACCCTTGGGGGACTCAGTGGAGTATGTAGATCCCATGCTCTGAAGTAGATAGGTGTGGTTTTTATAATGCCAGTCACAGGGAATGGTTGCTGAAGCTTCCCCTGCAGGTGGCATTAGGAGGCCGCACAGGACTGCAGAGGCCTCCACCACTTGAATGGGGAACAGAGGTAGGACTGGTGAGAAGGTACCCACGGTGAGACCATTGTAAGTGCCGATCTCCACTGTAGTGAGAAGCGCTCTTTGGAACACCTTTCTTCATACGCCCTGTCAGGTATGAGCAGGAGCATTTATTTTGCTTTGCTTTCTGTGGTGCTGAGGATGGAACCCAGGGCCCGGCCAGTGCTAGGTGACCACTGTGCCACTGAGCTACACCCCAGCCCCTGAATGCAAAAAAAATTTTGTGGAAAAATTATTTAATAACAGACATGAAAAGCAGAAAAAAGACTTGAGCCATCATTTTACTAACAACATACGTCACTGTTTCTCTGGAGAGGAGACATTTGATTTGCTTTGTTTTTGGTGATCAGGACATCAATAATACAGTGCCCAAATGTATTCTTAATGTAGATAATTGTTGAATACATTAACAAGGGCCTCATTTCTTCTAGGCAAATTTCTTTGTACATATTGGGTTTCCTTACATAATACTTTGATGGTATTGTTGGAACTCTTACCTGCTGGGGCTTGTCTTTCAAACAAACACTTTCTTGTCAACCATTAGTGTGTTAATAAGTAAAAAAAATGCATGGGTCTCACATATGGATCTCATGAATGCAAGTTCTTATTGCCCCACATGTTGCTAATAATTCTGCTTGCCTGATTTTTAAATTTTGGTTAATCTGGTAGGAATTGAATGATATCTTCTTGTTTCAGTGACATATTCCTGATTGAAAATGACATCATATTTTCACATTTTGAGACTTTTTGTATTTCTTCTTTTATGAGATATTTATAGCCATCCTCAGTTTCTTATTGGATTATTAGTTTTTTACATTGGGGACTCTTTAATGAAGTCTGTCTATATGACTCTATAGCCATTTCTTTTCTTGAATATTTTGTATTTTATTATTATTTTAATGCTACATAGTTATGGGGTACAGTGTGATAATTCAATACATGTATACTGCAGTTATCAAATCATCTAGGTTCCATATTCCAAAACATTTAAAAAATTTTCTTCATTGGCCTTGGGAATGTAGCTCAGTGTTAGCATGCTTGTCTGACTTACCCAACGCCCTAGGGTTTAATTCCCAGCAGCATAAAACACACTCTTCTGTGTGTGTGTGTGTGTGTGTGTGTGTGTAACATTTACTACCTATTTATTGTAAAATCAAATATGCATATACACACCCAAAAAAAGAAAACTTCAAATATGCACATACATACATAAACAAAAATACTTCTTGAATAACACAATAATTGTACTCATTCATGAAGTGCAGTGATAGTTCAGTACATTCATAATTTACAATGATCATATGTTGGCTTTTTAAATTGATTTTGAGAGCTAATGACCTGCTAGTTAACTGTTACAGATTCTTCCTCCTGCTTTTTCACTCTGTTGAAGGCATCTTTTGACAAACAAATTCTTTTTGTAATGTAGACTGTTAAACCACTATGGAGATTACTCAAAAAACTGAAATTAGAAATTCCATTTGACCCAGATATTCCTCTTCTGGTTCTCTTCTCAAAAGAGCTAGACAGCATATTATACTGATCCATGCATACACATATTTATGGTAGCACAACTCCCAACACATAAATCTTCGAAGCAGCCTATATGTCCCTCAACAGATGAATGGATACAGAAAATGTGGAATTTATACATAGTGGAGTACTATTCTGCCATAAAGAAGGATAACTTTGAATAGTTTGTAGGATAATGGGTGCACCTTGAGATCAAAATGCTAAGTGAAATAAATTTAATTACTCTTATTTTCCATGTATAAGTCTCCCTGTTTACACTCTGAGTGTTCAGCTGTCTTCCAATTCAAAAATTTTCCAGCTATGTTCTAATGTATTGTTTCTCTTTCTTTTCTTTCCTCTCTTTGCTTTCCCTCCTCTCCTCTCCTCCTCTTCCCTCCCCTCACCTCTCCTCTCCTCTTTTCTTCTTTTTTTTAGTGCCTCGTACCACTGAGCTCATTCCTAGACCTTGATTTTTAATTTCAGATATTTTTTATTTCTGTTGTTTATAGACATTTTGTTTATGGTTTGCACTCCTCTGCTCAGTTTTAAGCCTTTTGTTCTTTAAAATGTTCAATATTCTTTCTTATTTATTTACATATATTAGCCATATCATACTTTATATTCTGTATCTGATTAATTCCAGTATCTGCTTTTTTGAACCTAATCTTGCATTTTATTATTGCCATAGCCTCTCACTCATAATGGTTCTTTCATCTCTTCTGTGTTTATTAATTTTTATTGTAATCTCATATTATTTGTAACTTTAGCTGCATGAATTATTTGAGCTCTTGCTTTAGAATAATTCTCAAAAGATGTTTTTGATTGTTTTATTAAATATAGCCAGCATCTGGACCACTTTAAACTCAATAGTAGACTTGGTAGCTGGGTAGTGTCTGGATTTCAGCTCCACAGGTGTGTGAATGTGGGCTTCTGTGTAGTGTTTCCTGAGAGAGACAATTTTCTTTTTCTACTTTTATAGCTGAAGCTGATGTAGGAACAAACCTTCCCTGTCTCTTGTTGCTAGACAAGGTGTTTCTATTTCATCTGCCAAAACTGTCACTCTTTGGGAAACTTGGCTGTCTACCACAGTCCCTGATTTATCTTTCCACCTTATACAGGGCCGAGCTTTCCTTTTTGCCCCCCGACATTCCAGGCCATCAGTGTTAGGTAAATGTTTCAAGCCAAGCACAGGTTCCAATGTGCCCCTATGTCTCAATTCCCAGTAATCTGACCATCTCTGATATCAGACTGTTTCCCTGTATAACCATAAGCTTGGTCCAATTTTGAAAAATAAATTTTTTATAGTTTATTTATCACTTTAGATGTTCACTACCAGGAGGCCTGGATATCAGATGCATTATACAGCAGGGAGGTCATGGCGATATCCATATTTATACGTAGACGACTAACCACAAATGAAAGTGCCCTTAAATATTCTTAGCATTTTTGAAATTAAGTCCACTTAAAATGAAACAATCTAAACAAGGAAATGAATCTTCCCATGTTGTGTTGGAAAGGTTTGAGCTAATTGGGTGTACAGTGAAATTTGTGTTGTCCAAATGACACAGCACTTGATAAACATCTCATGCTTAAGGTTAAGTATATTCTGTGTTGGAGGCAAAATAGTGGAATTTTAATCGAGTATGTGCCTACTTTATTGATATGTAGGAAATATAATATATTTTCTGTATGCTATTATAATTAGGCATTTAGAAATAAAGCTATCATTTTATTATTGTTGCACCATTTAATTACATTATTATTCTCTCTTTATTAGGCATTAGACTGCTCTATGATTGTGCTGAGTACAGATGGGGTGATCTTTTACATCACTGAAAACATCACAGCTGTCCTTGGCTACTTATCAGTAAGTTCTTCCATTGTTTGGGAAAGGGATCATTTAGGTTCATTTTCTAGGGTTATTATTTCTTTCTGTGGCGCATGATACATGGGAGAAAGTGTTCTCATTGTCACAAAATGTGCTTCTGTTTTATTGTTATCTGCATTGGTTTCAGTTTTCAATCTATATGCAAGATAATTGAGCATAGTTTCCTTTCATGGTTTGAAAATTACCCTGGTAGGAAATCCCCAAAGAAGAGGGTGCTTTATAAAATAGCAGTTGCTAGAACCACTGGAGTATCCAGAGTGACGATGTGTCATATGGTGGTGTTTGAATTTGTATATTTTGGAGTCTGTATCTTTTTTTATCTTTTAAATAACAAATTACTGTCTTTGTTGTTGCTGTTGTTTGTTTTGTTTTGTTTTTGTACTGGAGATCAAACTCGGGACCTTGCACTTAATAAATTACTATATAATTTAGAAAAATAAATAGAAATGGTTGCATAGTTTCATAGTTTAACATTATCGTGGGTATCACCAGAGACACCTATGCATTAGTTGTGCTTGGGCTCTGCTGTGCAGAAGCGGTCACTTGTTCTTGAGCCCTTTGGTGTTGTGGTGTCCATGTCAGGTAAGCTCTCCCCATCTTCATAGCACCACTGAGTGGAATATATGATTTCCTATTGATTTAATTGATCTTCCAGCTGTACACTCAGCAAATATACTATTTAAATATTACAGTACTATGTTCCTCTTGGAATATTTTATGCTGTGATAAAAGCACCATAGACTGGTTGGTTTATACAAAAGAAATTTATGATTATAGCCCTGGAGGTCAAGAAGCCTAAGACCAAGGTGCCAGCAGATTTGGTGTCTGATGGAGGCCCATTCTCTGGTTCATAGACAGCTTTCTTCTGGCTGTGTCCGTGTACTACAGAAGAGACAAGGGAGCTCTTTGGGGTTTCTTTCATTAGAAGACTAATCCAGTTCATGTCTGTCCTCATGACTTAATCACCCTCAAATGCTCCACTTAAAATACCATCACAATGAAGGTTAGCTTTCCACATACGGATTTGGGGGTAACAAACACTCAGCCTATAGCTATGCCTTCATATTACACTTAAGCAAACATATAAAGACCATCGCTGACAACCCTCTCCCACAAAATCTGCATCATTGGGGGAGTTAGGTTAATCTTATATGGGTGGTGGTTTTCATTTTACAACTACTCTTCACTCCACAGAATTTTCTCAAGAATTTTAAATATAGACTGAATATTTATAAAATTTAAATTTTATAATATAAAATTATATGTAAATATAAATTTTAAATATAGGACTCAATTTTTAAATATAGAAAATAATAGAAGAATGGCTTGACTTTATTGTACTTACATTGGAAGTGAATTCAGAACTTATTCTACTAGTTTAACTATACAAGTGAGCATGACCATCTTGGAAACTCAGTACATTTTATACCTTTTTATTGTAATTTACAGGTACTGGAATCTGTTTCTTCTATTTCTCATTCTCTTCCTTGCTTTAAAAAATGTTTACATTTCCAAATTCAACTTATATTTGCAGGATAAGGAAAATCTTATATGGGTGGTGGTTTTCATTTTACAACTACTCTTCACTCCACAGAATTTTCTCAAGAATTTTAAATATAGACTGAATATTTATAAAATTTAAATTTTATAATATAAAATTATATGTAAATATAAATTTTAAATATAGGACTCAATTTTTAAATATAGAAAATAATAGAAGAATGGCTTGACTTTATTGTACTTACATTGGAAGTGAATTCAGAACTTATTCTACTAGTTTAACTATACAAGTGAGCATGACCATCTTGGAAACTCAGTACATTTTATACCTTTTTATTGTAATTTACAGGTACTGGAATCTGTTTCTTCTATTTCTCATTCTCTTCCTTGCTTTAAAAAATGTTTACATTTCCAAATTCAACTTATATTTGCAGGATAAGGATACTAAGCCAGCTAAATAAAATGCAAATATTAGATATATTAATTGAATTGGACTTGAGGATATTTATATTATAGAATTGGAAGAGTGTTATTACATCTATTAAAGAGGGAATGTGAAAAGGATCCAGTGTAGCTTAAATTTTATTATAATGAAGATCAGAAAACTCTCCAAATTTTATGGCAGCTGATACTGCTGAAACCAAATTCTTTGTTGACTGAGATTGATGACTTTTTCTTATTACATGAAGATTTTTTCATAGTGACGATGTTAGTTGAAATATTATCTTGATTTTCTCATAATATTTAGTCAAATTTTCACTTTCAAGAGGTTCCTTCGCCCTTCAACATTTGAGATGCCCCCACCACACAATCACTATAAATATGAAAGGGACTAAGATGGTGCTTGGAGGTCGGCTGTTGTAAATAGTATACTCAGGGTAGGCCTGTCTGATTAGGTGACATTGGAGCACAGATAGGAATGGAGCGAATAGGTGTTTCACACAGTAACTGGTGCAAGTGTGTTTTAGGCAGAGGCTAGAACATGTGGAGAGGTCTGAGTACAAGAATATGTTTGGTGTGGAAAAGTTTCATCAACAAGAGTGGTGTGACTGGAGTATGGTAAGTAAAAGGAGAACTGGGAGATGAAAAATACTAGAAGAGTAGTGTCTTGGTTACTTTTCTCATTGCTGAGACAAAATACCCAATGCCCAAAGTTAAAGGAGGGAAGATTTATTGTAGCTTACAGATTGTAGAGGTCTCATTCCGTAATTGGCTGTCTCCAAGTCAGGGTGGCAATAGCAGAGGGCCGTGATTAGAGGGGAAATAATTCATGGCAGGCCGAAGGCAACAAAGTAGCAAAGTAGCAAGCAGCAAGTGAGAAGCAACAACAGCAGCCCTCCTTCTTTCCCTTATATTCTATCCAGGCTCCCCACCCGTAGGGCAGGCAGCACTCACACCCAGGGTAGAGCACCCTTAATACTAGTATTGCAGTAGGAATCAGTCCCAGCATCACATCCTTCATCCCAGAGTCACACACTCTAGATCCAGCCACTTCCCAAAAAGCCCCACCTATGACTGCATGAGGCTTTGTGGGGAGCATCTAGATACAAGCCACAACAAGTGGCAAAGATCACCTTGTGTGTGATCACTGCCTTCCCTCTGAGATGAAATGGAGCCATCGAGGGGATAGAGCAGGTGTGGATAATGACCTAAGTTTTGTGATATTTTGGCCAGTGTGTTCAAAATTGGCTGTGGGGAGCAAGCATGAAAAAGCAGAGTCTACTTGAAAACAGCTGGCTATTCTGGGCAATAGATGGATATAATTGGAAGTGCAAGTGTTTTGTAAGTAAAATACACTTTGCTGATGGATTGGGAGGGGATTTGGCATAAAGGTAAAGGTGGATGTTATAATGTTATAACACTGGTCATGAATAGATTATGTCCATTATTATAATCATGGTTTAAATATGTATCTGAAATTTTCCATCATATTTTTCCCAATCATTCATTCTCTTGATAGTTTTTCCTTTGGAAAAATATGTGGTCGTATGTAGGGGAACTTGTAGTTCCATGGTCCGATCTTGGTGGCCTGCCTGCCTGCTCACCCTGCTCCACTGATCCCTTGAAAAATATATACTGTGGAAATTTACATGTAGCCATTCTCTTTTTTGGTTATTCAGCAAATGCACCTTTTAATAATATAACAATACACTTCATGGAAAGAGTTTTTCAGCACTGAAATTTCAACAGCAGAGAATTAAGCAAGGTTTACACATGAGTATGTCTTTAGTCTGTGACAATTGTGGGCAGATTTGCTCTGTTCTGCTTGAGGACTCACTGCACAGCAGGGAATTACTAGTGATGAGTCTCATTTTGAACTTTATTTTTTGAGAGAGGATCTTGCTATATAGTTCAAGTTGTCCTTGCACTCACTATATGTAGTCCAGGCTAGCCTCAAACTTCCAGGGATCCTCCTGCCTCAGCCTCTTGAGTGCTGGGATGGAAAGTGTGCACCAGGATGCCTGTCTAATGAGTTTCATTTGATTTGAAACCCATCCTGGATCTCCTACAGCTCTGTTATCCTTTGGATTCTCAGTAAATGTCATAGACTCGGGTAAATTCCTTTCTGCTTTTTTTGGCATGACTGAGACCATAATAATATTTGTATGACAACTAATAGGTATTCAAACTTGGCTTTTGAAAAGAAGTTCTTAATTTTTCTCTGGTATTTACCCTTGCTTCATTAAGCTATAAGCACCTTGATCATTCTGCCTTGAGTAATAAGAAGAGCAAATGCCAAAGATTTACAGAAATAACAAGAGATTGAGATTGATGGTGGTTTTAGGTCTCTGCCCTTTCAGAAGCAGGCTCACTGTAATGATTGTTGGCTCTGCTGTTTTCATTGGTGATTTGTTATAAAGCTTATTGTTACAATTCTTATTCCTGCAGAGTCTATGGAAACTCATTGCTTCTCTTCCCATCCATACGACTGAAAAAATAGCTCACTTTGAATTATTCTAAGTGATAGTGCTAGCCTTTCTTTCAATAATAAGGAACGGTGACATAGCACTTTATATCTCTTGTTTTGGTCCTGTTTTTAGTTTGTATCATAATTCCTGTGCATATACTAACTGCCCTACTTGACTATGCACTTATTTGAGTTATAATTCATATCAGGCTCATCTTCTATAACTTTTTCAAGTACACAGCATAAAATTTTTAAACAATTGAGTTCATATAGAATGCCCAAAATGAAGGCACTCATTCAGTAGCAAATGTTTTGGTCCTGGTATGAACTGGACTTGAGGTAGCTATGGAGCGATAGAACAGGAAACATTGAGTTGGATGACACTTCTATGCAAATCTCATTTCTTCATTCCTGAATTTCCAGTGGTTAGACAACCCTTGATTTCCTCAGGACTAAGGTAGCGGCTAATTCTTCCTCTCACAGGGATTCAGTGAGCTAGTATGCATGTGAACATCCCTAGCACAATGTCAGGCTTGGAGTATTTACTTTATCCTCTGTTATGTGAAGGGATGGATGGATGGGTGGGTGGGTAGGTGGGTGGCCTTCCCTCATCAGAGGTAATTTGCTTTGTATCTAAATTATGTTTTAAAACTAAACCAATAAAAGTATTTTAGTGAAAAGTTTTAAGTTTAATGAAAAGAAATCTACATCTTTTGGGAAAGCAGTAATTTGTGGAATGACTTTCTCTGTCAAAATGTATTGTCTGTTACTTCCATAACATTTTGTTTACTAAATTAAAGTAGTATTTCTATCCTGAGTCAAGCCAAGCTTTTTCGTGATTGAGATGGGATCCATCTGCTAATTGAAGTGATGGCCAACTCATAGTCTGCTTCTACAAATGGGCCATAAAGAGATATTTCTAAATATTAATGGTGTACTGTTAATACTAATCAGTAAAAACTAATTTTAATCTGTGGTTCTCCAGCCAAAGTCATTATTTATCTACAAAGAATACTTTATTACTTTGCTTCTATCATTACTTCTCTGTCTGGTGTTTGGTTTACTCGCATGTCACTGTATTTTAACTACATAGTATAGCATATTTTAGTCATTGAACAAATATGTATTGAGTGCTAAATTATGCCAAGCTGTGTTTCAGGTGTTCAGGGTATGGCATTGATTAAGACAAACAAGGCCTCTGTTCTGACACAATTTATATTTCAGTTGGGAAACAGATAATAAACAGGCAGGAGCAAAACAGGTAGGGAAGCACTGTCAGAGATTGTGTTATTCAAAAAGCTGTGGAAATGAAGTAGAGAATGTATTCTATAGGCCAAGGGCAAGCAGGTAGGTGAAGGGTGGTGCCATTTACCTGAAACAAAGCGGAACTTTTCAGAGAAAAGATTGGGGGATTTCTTTTGCGTATCTTAAAATTAGGCTCTTCTTAGACATCCAAGTTGGGTTTTCTTGTGGGTATAAGTCCAGAAGAATTTGGTCGTCGTCAACAGAGAGGTACATAATGAGGAGGAACTGGAAAAGATGACCCAGGGGGACATGATAGTGAGAGAAGAGATCCAGTGACTAAGCCCTGGGTATTGCTGAGTCAGGTAGCCAGGAAAAAGAGGAAGATCCAGCAAAGAAAACTGTGAAAGTGTGGCCTTGGATGTAGAAGCACATCCATGTGTGTGTGGTATCCTGGAATCCAAGTGAAGAAAGTATTTCAGCACTCATTGTATTTGTCTTTTTTATAATAGCCATTCTCCTTGGGGTGAGGGGACATCTCATTGTGGCTTTGATTTACATTTCCCTAATGATTAATGATATTGAGCTTTTTTCCTTGTGCATTGCTGATGGGAAAATAAAATAGTACCACTTTTATAGAGAACAGTATGGAGGTCTGTCCCGAAACTAAAGCTAAAGCTACTATACGTCCAGCAAGCCCACTGCTGGGTATATACCCAAGGGCAATGAAACCTACATGTCAAAAGACACCTGCACTCCTATGTATTAGTGCACCATTCACAATACCCAAGGCATGGAGTTAGCCTAAATGTCTATGAACAAAGACACAGACAAAGAAAGTGTGGTACATACACACAATAGGACATTACTCAGCCACGAAGAGAATAAAATCCTGTCACTGTGACCACATGGGTGGACCTCGAGGGCATTATGTTAGGTGAAATAACTCAAGCACTGGGCAAAAACACCACACGACCTCTCGCTTCTGTGGAATCTGAAAATGTTGATCTCACAGAGGTTGGAACAGAAGAGTGGTTAGCAGAGGCTGGGGACTGGAGGAAGCAGGAGAGGGAGTGGTCGGTCAGTAAAGGCAATGATATTGTGTGATAGGGGAAATAAGTTCTGGTGTCCATGGGAGAAGCTGATCAGTGGGTGCTACGCTGTTCCACAGTCACCCTAGTGCACAACAGCACACCAGAACTTCCTACTGGTGACTGCGGATAATGACAGTGCATTATGTATCCCCTGTAGGAGGAAATTTGAGTGTATTCACTATACAGAAAGAGTAATGTTTAAGGTGATGGCTGTGCTAATTACCCTGAGTTGATCACTATCCAGTGTATACATCACATTGCATTTGTACAAACACCGTATGTCAGTCTAAAAATAAGTAATTAAAGCTAATAAAAGGAAAAAGGAAGGATCTGTTGCATCAAATGCCGAGTGAGATGTTAGGCAAGATGAGGACTGAAAATGGATTACAGGACTTGGCACCATGGAGGTCAGTAGTTATCTGGAGTGATTAGGATAAATATTTGGTTGGTTTCCAGTGGAAGCTGAGAAGTGAAGAAAAGTGACCAAGTAAGTTCATTTCAGAATTTTTATTTCCATCTAGACCAGATAAGTGGTTATAGTTGGAGGAGAGAGCGTAGTATGAAGGGAAGTTTAGTGTTTTTAGAATTTTGTGTGACTTCTTTATAAGGTGACGGGTATTGTAGAAATTGTTGTATAGCACTTGTGTGCTTATAGGAAGACCCAGTAGATAGAGAAAGCTTGATGATATGGCAGGTGGGGATGTTTTTGGAACAATATCTTTGAAAAGCCAAAAGAAAACGGGGCAGCATGTACAAATGAAGGTGTTAGTCTTCTGTGGGAGGGAGGGAGCTTATTCATCGTACTAGGAGGGAAGGCAGGTTTCTCAGCACAAGAATACATGGGATGGTAGATTGGGGCAGGGAGATGTTGGCATTTCCTTTTCCTTTTTTAACTGAAATAATTGAGGTCAGCTGAAAATACTATAGAGGGCTGAGGGCTTGGAGGTTTGAAGGAGGAAAAGACAAGAAAGAGTCATGTTGAAGAGTAGTAAGATGAATTATCAAAAAAATGCTTTGGGGCAGGTTTGAGTACCCATTATACTGCCTGATAAGAGGGGTTTTTGTTTGTTTGTTAGTTTTCATTTACATTCAGATGCTTCGATGAAGGTGTGGGGTAGATGAAAAATTGGAAGTGTCCAGAGTTCAGATTTTCTCTGGCAGATATGGCAGAGGGAAAGAACAAATGGGAATGATTACAGTGATCTCAGAATCTTAGATGGCCAGGGATGAATGAGATGGGAGGGAGGCAGCACACAGTGAAAATCTGAAAAGCATGGAGTGGAGGTCTCCGGCCAGAGTAATTGCTGGAGAGATAAGGTACTTTGCATGAGTACATTGGAAAGGTCAGGATGGCCGTCCCAAGGTGGGGAGCTACAGCAGTTTTAAAACAGGTGGCTGAAATGGGGCAGGACCTAAATGTGCTGGAGGTGAGGAGATGGGGGAAATGAACAGTATCAGCACATAGAATAAAATGTGTTTTCTCCTCTTCCTCCTCCCCCTCTTTCCTTCCCCTTCCCCTCCCCTTCCCCTCCCCCTTTCCCTCCCCTCCCTCTCTCTCTCCCTCTCTCCAGAGTGAGGTTATGGGAAGGAAATTATTGAGCTTTCTGCCTGATGAAGAGAAAAATGAAGTCTACCGGAACATTTGCTTGAAACCTCCTCTGTCAGAATCAGGTACAGATTTTTTTCAAGTATTAAATTCTTAGGCTTTAAGAGACAGGGAACACTCAGTGGAGTAGTTTTTATAAAATTTTTTTTTTTTTAAATTGAGTTTATTGGTACATTTAGGGATACAGTACAGTTACATTCATTGTTGGGATCATGTACCTTTACATGGCAAGTCTTGATTCTCATTTTTTTCCCCTTACCTCTGCCCTCCCTTCTCCCCCTCCTCCCC